CTGGTTGAAAACACATTATATTTCTTTTCCATTTAAATAAAAACAGGAAAAATAGATTTGAGAATTCTGATACTGCTTCTGGTCGTCACAAGTGTGGCTAGAGGCGATAGTGAAAACACTGGAAAACTAACCATCCAGGATGTAAGTTCACACTTTCCACGTTCCACACCATACAGAGTAAGGACGTTGAGCATAATTACTTTTCTTTTAGTACAGAAAATATTTTTATCAGCTTTTTACCAGAGGAGGTGAGTGATAGAGTTACAAGGAGCTGATTTTGCTTCTTTTGTTTAAATGTAATTTTGACACTTGAAGTAAACCAAGTCACATTATGTTTAGAATATTTTTCTATTTGTTTCTATGAACAGTGTTTTCATCTTTCTTATGATAGATTTTAAATATTTTACATTCATGGCTATTCCAAAGAAAATTCATGACCCAGTAAGTATGTATCTTGTCTGGCCCTTTATAAATAATAGTTCCTGGGTCATTATCGTATCAACTCTTGACTTCCTTTGTATTTTAGTTTTCAGAAGTGTCTTCTAATTCCTACTGAGCTATTACTTTCTAACTCAAGAGCTATGCGTGAAACTAAGGAATTTAGGGCAACACTCTTATTTCCTCATAAACTTTTAGAGAAGACCATAGTTGTGCCTTTTTTTTACCTATCACGAGAAGTCTCCAACTGAGGTGACTGCCCCTGATTGTTGAATCATTGTATTTATGGTAAATATTCCAGCCAAGTCAACAATGCCCTTTACTGCTTGTGGAATGGTGTTGATGTGCAAGGATACGCAGCTGAGGGTTCTCTAATGATGCATGGCTGGTTGAAAGTGAGGAAGGAAACCTCACAGGGTATTCCTACTAGGAGAGTCAAAGAAGTTCCTCTCTCTGGGTTCTGATTCTCTCCTTTCTTCTGCCATGGGAGCAGAACTGGGGGTTTGGGGTCTAGTGTCCTCTAAGCCAGCTCAAGAAATGTACTCCACAGCTAGGGATTGTCTGTGAGTCCTCCCCCTCCTCTGGGCTGGCTGCCCCTAGGAGTGGAATGGTGTTAGTTGTTGATATTAATGGGGACTGTTGGAGGTCAGCCACCTGAGGGGTAATTTCCATAAGCACTGATCTCATCTGCATGATCTCATCTCTCTCTGACTGGTTTTACAATAACTCATACTTGGAACTGCAGTTGTTGACATGATTTGGGGGGTTGGAGGCACATGGTCCTCCTTTTAGAAGTTGGTCCTTCTTCCCACAGAGGCACCTCCTGTAGTGATGGTGGGTCCTGAACGTTTTCTTTTCTTCTTTCTCCTCTCCTCTCCATCCCTCCCTCCCTCCTCTCATCTCCTGCCTTCCCCTCTCCTCCCCTCCTCTGTCAGATTGAGTTCACAGTGAAACTCTGCTATCTGGTGGATTCAGTCTTGAATTAGAAATTGAGGGAGAATATCTTGGACTCTTGCTAATTTCCTTTGTAAACACTAGAAAGTTATTCTGCTTCTCTGTGAACTCTGCCTTTGAAAAAGGAAGAGATTATATGATGTGTTATTTTCAAGGTTTATGAAAACTAAAAACATGTTGAAGTGAGCTAAAGTAGTGTTAATAATACCTATCATTTTTGCTATTCTTATTTATTTTCTTTCTTGAATATGTAGAACATTAATATGCTTCCAAAAGTCGAACCTATTCTAAAAGGTATATGCAAAGGGGTATCTCTCTCTTGTATCTCTTCTCCCAACTCCTTGTGGGTAACTTCATTTCTAGTTTCTTTCTCTCTCTCTCTGCAGAAATTAACACATATATTTTTTCTTATTTCCCATTTTTCTTCACAAAAGGTAGTATATAAAGCATGCTATTTTAGACTTTGTCTTTTTCGCTTAATCGTGCATACAGAAAATCACTCTTGTGAGTTCAGAGAGATACTCCTCATCTTTTTTTCACAGTTTCATAGACTCCACTGTATAAGTTCTATATTTATTCAACCAGTCTCCAATTTGGGGGCATGTAGGTAGTTCCAGTAATTTTTAAGTTTATTTACTTATTTTGAGGGAGGGAGGAAGGGAGGAAGGGAAAGAAAGAGGGGGAGGCAGGGGGAGAGGATGTGTATGGGAGGGAGGGAGGGAGGGAGAGAGAGAGAGAGGGAGAGTCCCAAGCAGGCTCTGAGCTGCCAGCACAGAGCCCAACGTGGGGCTCAGACTCACGAACTGTGAGATCATGACCTGAGCTGAAATCAAGAGTCAGATGCCTAACCAACTGAGCCATGCAGGTGCCCCTACTTCCAGTATTTTTGCAATTACAAACAAAATTATTCTGCAATGAATAATTTTCTGCACATATTTTTGGGTTGTTGGAGCTATCTTCAGGGTAGAGTCTTAGAAGTGGGATTATTAGGTCAAAAGGTATAGATACTCCCTTACACAGTAGTTATACATTCTGAGTGTCCTGGAGCAATGAAAGAGGTATTGGTTTCCTTATAGCCTTCCCAACAGAATGAGTGGTCAGACTGTTGAATCTTTGCTAATAAGATGAGTGAGAAATGTTATCTCAATGTAGTTTTAATTTGCATTTCACTTATTATGAAGTTGAGCATTTTCCCATATACCGAGGTCCATCTTTCTCTCTCCCTCTCACTTTTTTGGTGAAATTGTTTTTGTCTTTTGTCCATTTTTCTTTCTGTAGGAGATTTACTTTTTTTCTCTAAACTTAAAAGATACTTTATGGGAGTATATGTAAAGATATGTAGTAATAATATATAAAGATATATATAAAATGTATATGTTAATATTAGGCCATTTATCTGTGTTATATGTTGCAAATGTTTCTTCTAATCCATCATCTTTTAACTTTGCTAATAGTGTGTTCTGCCATGGAAAAGTTTAAAACAATTTTTTATGGTCACATTTATTAAATATTTTCTTAGAAATTGCGTGGTTAGATGGGTACCTGGGTGGCTCAATCAGTTAGGCGTCTGAATTTGGCTCAGGTCATGATCTCATGGTTTGTGAGTTTGAGCCCCATGTCAGGCTCTGTGCTGACAGCTCAGGGCCTAGAGCTTGCTTCAGATTCTGTGTCCCTCTTTCTCTGTCCGTCCGCTGCTCATGCTCTTTCTATCTCTCAAAAATAAATAAAAACATTAAAAAAAAGAGAAATTGGATGGTTAGAAAGCTTTTTCCTATGCTCGTAGTATGGAGTGATATTTATTGTTCATTGAGGGCTTGCCATGTAAAATGTACTGTGCTGAGGACTTTTCATACATTAACTGCTAAAAGAGTTCTGTGGGCCAGCAGGAAAACAGCGGCTCTGGAGACATAGGCCTTGGCTATGTCAGGTCAAAGAAGTTGGCTAATTTCTGGCTTCAATACCTCCCAGTTGGATGACTTTGCACTTGGCGTGTTCTGAGTTCCAGTGTCATCATCCCTGAAGATGCAACCTCTAAATAGCATCTCTATCATAGAGGTGTGAGAATTACCTGAGTTAATGTGTGAAAGGGCTTTGGACAGTTCCTGACACATAGTGTTGGATAAAGATTGGATATTAATTATTGTACTGTAGTATTTCAGTTGTAAATATCAAGATTATAACCCATTCTTTAAATCCAACAAAATTCTGAAATCACCTAAATGTTGTTTATATTTCTTTTACTCTAAGTATTAAAGATCACCATGAAACAGTGTCTTGTTTTTTACACTGCGTCTTATTGTAGCCTAAACCAGATACTCAGATCTGGGAGTCTGGGGAGAAGGTCAGGGAGAAAGTTCGGGACATGGCAAGAGCAGATTAATTTTAAACTGTTAATGCTCATATTTTGTTAATTAAATATGAATAATTCTAGTTATTGATTCTTCTAAAATGTGTTATTCATAAAGCAAACTTTTTTTGTTACTAGAGTTTACGAGGGATTGAATTCAACATTTTATAAATGTTTCTGGTTGCCAGGCTCTATGTGACCATGCTGCAAAGTTCACACTGTGTGACGTCACCTGCCTTTAGTGGAAACTTGGCTAAATTACTGCTATTTTAATTTCATTTTTAGCAACTTAGTTTGTTGTGGGTTGTTTGGTGAATCTTTTAGTCTTTGGCCTATGATTTCTCAGTCACTGGTCTTTGAGACCTGCATGCATTGTTTTGCAAATATGAAACATCTGCCTTATTTGCAACCATTTGTTTGTGAATATGAAACATCTGCTTTTATTAAAGTAGCTACATGAGCCTTAACCCCCTCCTCAATTTACTTCTGTAGTGAGACTTTGTTACCACTGTCGGGTTCTTTTTTGTTTGTTTTTTGTTTTTAATGTTTTTACATGTTTATTTATTTTTGAGAGAGAGAGAGAGAGAGAGAGAATACAAAGCACAGAGCCTGACGCAGGGCTCAAACTCACAAACCATGAGATCATGACCTGAGGCGAAGTCAGATGCTTAACCAGCTGAGCCACCCAGCGCCCCATGGTTTTTTTGTTGTTGTTGTTTTTTTATAGTTAGAATTTGGATTGAGGTGGTGGGTATACCAGTTGGTCCTTTGGTTTACCTCAGTTGGCCATGGCCAAAAATGTTTTAAAGCAATTGCCTTACATTATTTAGCAATTTTCCCGTGCTATTTCTTGCCTAAAAAATATAAAGTATTTTTACATACTTTAGATACTATTTTTCTTAGGTAGCAAACAGCTTTAGATGATTAAGCATGGAAACTATCGTAGTCAATACTACAGAATTAAATAAAACTTGGCCTTTAATTTTGCTTGCTTTAAAATGGCTAGAATTGTTGTGTCCATTATAGTATTATTCTGAATTTTATTTGGGGCTATCACAGTTCTTATTTCACCATTCTGCTTAAGAAGTGTTGATATTTTAAATTTCTCACAGCACTTACTATAGAAAATATTCAATATCAGTTGTTAATTTGATGTCTTCTTTTACATTCTCTGTTCATGTTTCCTCAATTTAAAGACATGATTAGAAATTTATTTATTTCAAGTTGTGATTACATTGATTATCTACTTTTGTGTCTTCAGGTTATCAAAGAGAACTTCTCTATCAGAGGGAAGATGGCTCTTTCAGTGCTTTTGGGAATGATGATCCTTCTGGTAGTACTTGGTAAGTGTTTGACTAACAGAACAAATCTTTCATGAATGGGCTCTCATTAGGTCAAAATGGCCATGGAATTGACGGATGTGTCCCATTATATATAGACTTATAGGTTTCTTTTCCCATTGCCTGGCTTTAAAATAAGTTTTCCTTTGTAAATATGGTTTTAAAGCAATAATAAGTAAAATGTTTTTATTTAGGTAAGTCATAAATCCCCCTTTTTTGTGGTAGGGAAAGCAATAAAAATACTTAAGAAACTTTTTTTTTTTTTTAACATTTATTCATTTTTGAGAGACAGTGAGAGACAGAGCATGAGTGGGGGAAGAGCAGAGAGAGAGAGGGAGACACAGAATCCGAAGCGGGCTCCAGGCTCTGAGCTGTCAGCACAGAACCTGATGCAGGGCTCCAACTCACTGACCATGAGATTGTGACCTGAGCCCAAGTTGGATGCCCAACTGACTGAGACACCCAGGTGCCCCATAAAATACTTTTTGATGATGGTATAGTTGACAAGAAAAACTGGTTAGAAATACTGAGTGATTATGACATAGTTCTTTATTTTTTTTAAGGGCTTTTTATTAGAGAGAGAGCATGCCAGTAGGGAAAGGGTGGAGGGAGAGAGGCTCCTGCACTCCCACACTCAGTATGGAGCCTGACTCAGGGCTCCATCCCGCCATCCTGCAATCATGACCTGAGCCAAAATCAAGAGTTGGATGCTCAACCGATGGAGCTACCCAGGCGCCCCAACATAGTTCTTTTCTTAATCAGACATGATCAATACAAATTTTGTGTTAATACAGTCAACATTGTTTCTTTAAGGTTATTTTTTTGTGAAAACAGTGATAGAATTAAGTAATAAGCATCCAGATTTCCTCCAGAATGGAATCTATGTGGCTGATTTTGGATGATTACTTTTTCTCCTTGCACTGTTGTCAGTGCTACATTTCACCTAGAAGAAGGTTGACTAACTGTAGCAGTCGGGTTAGACAAGGCACACTGTGGTAACAGCAACCCCTAAAATCCCTTAACAAGGGCTTCTTTCTTGCTCAGGCTGCATTTCTTCTTTGGGTCAGCAGGGGGCTCTGTAGTCTGTCAGCTGCCACCATCTCCCCAGGAGGCTCCAGGCTTGCAGCAGCCTGGAAAGAGAAGGCTGGAGTATCTACCACTGGTAATTAGGTACTTCAGCCTGGGTGCAGCATTTCTTCAGTTTATCATTATCAGAGCTGCTCACAGGCCATGTGACCTTTGCTCTTAACTTCGAAAGGGCAAAGAAGTGAATTTCTCTGCACACTCAAAGTAGAATAGAGGACCAGATATTACTGAATATTAGTGATATTTATCACACTAAACATTTCATAGGATGAACCATATCTGCTTCAAATTTTCTTTTGGCATGTATCAGAATATAGATCCATAAATAGAAAGGTTTCAGTGTTTTATTGCTTGATGATCTTTTCATCTAAATATTTATTGTTCCATAGCAAGCATTGGCAGACTTTTGCTGTAAAGGCTCAGATAGTAAATATGTTAGGCATTGCAGGCCACATAGAATCTCTGTTGTTTCCTCTCCTCTTCCTCCCTCCCTTCTTTCTTTCTTTCTTTCTTTCTTTCTTTCTTTCTTTCTTTCTTTCTTTCTTTCTTTCTTTCTTCCTTCCTTCCTTCCTTCCTTCCTTCCTTCCTTCCTTCCTTCCTTCCTTCCTTTCTTTCTTTCTTTCTTTCTTTCTTTCTTTCTTTCTTTCCTTTCTTCCATCCTTCCTTCCTTCCTTCTCTCTCCTTCCTTCCTTCCTTCTCTCTCTCTTTCTTTCTTTCTTTCTTTCTTTCTTTCTTTCTTTCTTTCTTTCTTTCTTTTCTTTTCTTTTTCTCTTTAATAACCATTCTCAGGTGGAGGGTGGTGGAAGAGAGGCACACATAAATAGACCTTGGGCTGGCTTTGGCACAAGGGCCAGATTTGGCCCAGACTGATTGGTTCTTAGGCTGTAATATTCTGACTTCTTATAGGAGAGAAACTATCCATTTTTCTCTACTTAAAAGTACTACGATTTGACTGTGAATTATATATAGTTCATCCCTGGCATTAGGGTTGAGCCAAGTGTGTGATGAGATCTTCTTTGGTAAATACCTAGAAGAGTCCAAAGATGATAACCTTGGACAATTTATTTTTATATTTATTTATTTATTAAATTTTTAAAAATGTTTTATTTATTTCTGAGAGAGAGAGAGACAGCGTGAGCAGGGGAGGGTCAGAGAGAGAGGGAGACACAGAATCTGAAACAGGCTCCAGGCTCTGAGCTGGCAGTCAGCACAGAGCCCGACGTGGGGCTCAAACCCACAAACCATGTGATCATGACCTGAGCTGAAGTCGGACGCTTAATCGATTGAGCCACCCAGGCACCCCACCTTGGACAATTTATTTAACTCTCCTGGAGTGTCACATTCTGAATCTATAAAATAATAAGGCATGATTAGATGACTTTTAAATTCCTTTCCAAATCCGGTATTTTGTGAGTTGACCTGGAATTTCTTGACCACACTCAAGTGGAAACTGGACCTACCAGCTAGGCTGAGATGTTTATGTTGTTTCTTTGTTGTCTTTCTTCCCTCTGTTCCTTCTTCAGTTACCATCCTTTGGTGAATCTTCTGGTGAGAAACTATGTTGTTACTGTTGGTATTTTCTTGCTCATTGTTATTTAGAGGACTTCATAAAGTGTATTTTATATATTTTTTCTCCTTTTTCACCTAGGTTGTCAGCTTTTGTTTTAAGATGTTTCCTTGAAGCTGATCCTTATATAGATATTGATCCGAATGTGTTACACAGAACATATACTTGGCTCAAAGGACGTCAGAAATCCAATGGTGAATTTTGGGAGCCAGGAAGAGTGATCCATAGTGAGCTTCAAGGTGGCAATAAAAGTCCAGTAACACTTACAGCTTATGTTGTGACTTCTCTCCTGAGATATAAAAAATATCAGGTATTTAATCTTTAATAAATGATGGGCGAGGAATTACAAGGAAGGTAGGTCTTGATGGATCAAATATGTGTCTGGAAACTTAAAGGCTTTTGCAATTTTATATCACATTTGAGGTCTGAATTTGGATACCTTCTGGCTTGGCATTTCTGGCCTTATTTTAGAATCTGAGAATGAAGAACTCACTCTTTTAGAATAACAAAGAGAATTCTAAAAATGCTTTCTAATATAAATGTTGTGCTTGCTATTGGTAAGATAAATCAATGCATATTTTATCATTGGAAAGGTTAATTTCTTAGGGGAAAGAAGATTCTTCAGAGTTTGGGAATGTATTCTAGCACATTTAGATTGTGAAAGATTTTTTTTTTTTTAATTTCTAAAATATCATGGAGCAATGACAATGTCTGCTAATTTAGTACAGAGTACACCCACACTCTAAAAATCATGTTAAAAAGGCATGGATGTCTGGATAAGAATGTGTATACATGGAAAGTTATGCTAATGAGCTTAATTTTGCTCCAGAGCTGTCTCAGTGATTGATGCCTTTATTGCTTTAATGCCAACTGCATTTCACAGGATCAAAAACAACCATTCTCTGTTGTAAGCTCCTACTATTTCCCTAGTCCAGTACTAGGCACATGGAAAATCAACTTTCCCCTAAATCTAGAGCCTCAACACCTGAGGTCAGATGTGAGTAATATTTTTCTCAAGCTGTATTTTGTGCTCTCATCTGAGTTCATGATATTAAATGGTAGAAACAATGGCAAAAGTTCTGCTTTTTATTTCTTATTCCTTCTAGGGAATGGTGCCTGTTTTTTACTCATAAAAACTGAAAAGCAGTGTTCTTTTCTTCTTTTTTTAAAAAAAATTTAAGTTTCTTTTCTTTCTTTCTGTTTTTATTTAAATTCCAGTTACTTCATACACTGTAATATTACTTCCAGATGAAGAATTTAGTGATTCAACACTTCCATACAGCACCCTGTGCTCATCACAAGTGCCCTTCTTAGTCCCATCACCTGGTTCACCCATCTCCCCAGCCTCCTCCCCTCTGATAACCATCAGTTTGCTCTCTATAGTTAAGAGTCCCGGGGTGCCTGGGTTGCTTAGTCGGTTAAGCGTCCGACTTTCGCTTAGGTCATGATCTTGCGGTTCGTGGGTTTGAGCCCCGAGTTGGGCTCTGTGCTGACTGCCAGCTCAGAGCCTGGAGCCTGTTTCAGAGTCTGTCACTCCCTCTCTCTCTGACCCTCCCCTGCTCACACTGTCTCTNGCCTGACCGAGATTCTCTCTCCCATTCTCTGCCCCTCTCCCTTGCTCACACACTCTCTTTTTCTCTCTCTAAAATAAAATAAAAAAATAAAATAAAATAGGCCAAATATCTGAACAGACATTTCATCAAAGAAAATATAGGAGGGGCGCCTGGGGGGCTTAGTCGCTTAAGCGTCCGACTTTCGCTTAGGTCATGATCTCGCGGTTCGTGGGTTCGAGCCCCGCGTCGGGCCCTGTGCTGACTGCCAGCTCGGAGCCTGGAGCCTGTTTCAGAGTCTGTCACTCCCTCTCTCTCTGACCCTCCCCTGCTCACACTGTCTCTCTCTCTCTCCTAGAAATAAATAAAAATATTAAAAAAAAAGAGCCTGTTTCTTGGTTTGCCTCTCTCTCTTTTTTACCTTATTTGTTCATTTGCTTTGTTTTTTAAATTCCACATGAGTGTAGTCCTATGATATTTGTCTTTCTCTGACTTATTTTGCTTAGCATAATACTTTCTAGTTCCATCCATGTGTTTGCAAGTGGCAAGATTTCATTCTTTTTTTTATGGCTGAGTAATATTCCATTGTGTGTGTGCGTGTTGTGGGTGTATGGGTGTTTGTATGTATACTACATCTTCTTTATCCATTCATCAGTCAGTGGACACTTGGGCTGTTTCCATAATTTGGCTATTGTAGATAATTCTGGTATAAACACTGGGGTGCATGTATCCGTTTGAATCAGTATTTTTGTATTCTTTGGGTAAATTCCTAGTAGTGAAATTGCTAGATGATAGGATAGTTCTATTTTAATGTTCTGAGGAACCTCCGTACTGTTTTCCAGAGTGGCTGTACCAGTTTACATTCCCACCAACAGTGCGAGAGGATTCCCCTTTCTTCACATCCTTGCCAACACCTGCTATTTCTTGTGTTGTTGATTTTAGCCATTCTGATAGGTGTGATCTCATTGTAGTTCTGATTTGCATTTCCCTGATGATGAGTGGTGTTGAGCATCTTATGATTTACTTGTTGGCCATCTGTATGTCTTCTTTGGAAAACTGTCTATTCATATCTTCTGCCCATTTTTAAAAAAGAAATTCCTTTTTTATTTTATTTTTAAGTGATCTCTATACCCAACATGGGGCTCACACTCACAACCCTGAGATCAAGAGGCATATGCTCCACTGACCAAGCCAACCAGGTGCCCCTCTTCTGTCCATCTCTAATAGGATTATTTGTTTTTTGGGTGTTGAGTTGTATCATTTCTTTATATGTTTTGGATACTAACCCTTTATCAGATATGTCATTTGCAAATATCTTCTACCATTCCATAGATGTGCCTGTTAGTTTTGTTGATGGTTTCCTTTGCTGTGCAGAAGCTTTTTATTTTGTTGTAATCTCAGTAGTTTGTTTTTGCTTTTGTTTCTATTGCTTCAAGAGACATATCCAGAAAAGTTGCTATGGCCAGTGTCAAAGAGGTTATGCCTATGTTCTCTTCTAGGGCTTTTATGGTTTCAGGTCTCATATTTAGGCCTTTAATAAATTATGAATTTGTTTTTGTAAATGGTATAAGAAAGTGGCCCAGTTTCATTCTTTTGCATGTTGCTGTCCAGTTTTCCCAACACCATTTGTTGAAGAGACGATCTTTTTCTCATTGGATATCCTTTCCTGCTTGATTGAAGATTAATTGACTATGTAGTTGTGGGTTCCTTTCTGGATTTTCTATTCTGTTCTGTTGATATGTGTGTCTGTTTTTGTGCCAGTACAATACTGTTTTGATTACTACAGTTTCATAATATAACTTGAAGTCTGAAATTGTGATGCCTTCAGCTTTGCTTTTGTTTTTCAAGATTGTTTTGGCTATTCAGGGTCTTTGTGGTTCCATACAAATTTTAGGAGTGTTTATTTTAGCTCTGTGAAAAATGCTGATGGTATTTTGATAGAGACTGAATTAAATGTATATATTGTTTGGGTAGTATCAACATTTTAACAATATTTGTTCTCCCAATCCATTACCATGGAATGTCTTTCCATTTCTTTGTGTCATCTTCAATTTCTTTCATCAGTGTTTTATAGTTTTCAGAGTACAGGTCTTTCACCTGTTTGGTTAGGTTTATTCTTAGATATCTTATTGTTTTTGCTGCAATTATAAATGGGTTTGATTCCTTCATTTCTCTTTCAAAAGCAGTGTTATTTTCAAAATGAATAGCAAATCTTTAAATGTCTGTGACCATCATTGATTCCTACTGCCTAGGAAAAGTTAGGTGCTTAACAGACACTGAAATTACTTTTTGAACAAATGTTTGAAAATGCTCATTTAAATGTGTGGTAATGAGTTATTTTGAATAGTAAAATGTATGGTTTTTTTTTTTTTTTCAAGCCTAATATTGATGTTCAAGAGTCAATCAACTTTTTGGAGTCTGAATTTAATAGAGGAATTTCAGATAATTATACTCTAGCTCTTATAACTTATGCACTGTCATCTGTGGGGAGCCCTAAAGCCAAGGAAGCTTTGAATATGCTGACTTGGAGAGCAGAACAGGAAGGTAATGCATGGGGTTGTTTGAGATTGTTAGACTGCTATGCATTATGAAATATATAAATTATGTGAGAGGGTTTTGTAAGCCAGGTGTGAAGCTGATAACATTTATATCTTCTGAATGAGAAGAGGGGCACCTAGATGGCTCAGTGGGTTAAGCGTCCAACTTCAGCTCAGGTCATGATCTCATGGTTTGTGAACTCAAGCCCTGTATCAGGCTCTGTGCTGACAGCTTAGAGCCTGGAGTCTGCTTTGGATTCCGTGTCTCCCTCTCTCTCTACCCTTCCCCCACCTGTCCTCTGTCTCTGTCTCTCAAAAATAAATAAACATTAAAAAAATCTTTGAATGGGAAGAAAAATGAAATGCAGATGAGATCTGATGGGTCTGACATGGCTGCTTCTGCTCTCCCTGAGTTTTCAAGAGAATTTGGGACTTGGGTGTTTCCTTCTTTTAGATCTGTTCTGCTCTATGTCAGTTACCTTTTGGGTTCTCTGATACCATTTCTGGCTGGGTGGCCTTCAGTGGTCATTAGGACGTTGGATTGTGGAGAGACATGGGTTTGAATTCTGGTTTTACCACTTGCTTTTATGAGTTTTAGTTTTTTCCCCTAACTATAAAATGGGAATAACTGCTAGCAAATGTTCAAAATTTGAACGAATATGCTAACTAATAGAAATGCAAATGCCAAAAAATGCTATTAAGTGAGTTGGATAACTTTTTGTTCTAAGGAGCTGCAACAGGACAAAAGCACAGGTGTTGCTACTTCCCAAATGGGCTCTTTGGTCAGGGAACCAGGGAGTGGTGTGGATGTGTGGGAGAGACAGAGAGAGATAGGCAGATATACACACAGACATAGAGATGGGGATGGGTGGGCAAAAATAATTTTACATAATGTCTACTGATTCAAAGCCCTGTTGATTCAAGAAGGGATAATTGTAGAAAGTGCTTTCTACACTACACTACAGAAAGCGATTTCTAAGACTGTGAAAAATATCGCATATTGTTAGCAGTACCTTAGAATGAATTCTTACTATCTTTTTTGACTGCTGCAGTGCTGGGGATATATTATTACATAGGGATGGAAGTCCTTGACATTTCTTCTATGCTTGTTCAAGTGGTAGTTATTTCACATTCCACCTAAGTGTAATCATCTGAAGAGTAATATTTGAAAGGAGGTAGGGAGCACCAAGTAAGATGTTCCTCTGGGAGAAGCAGGGATATTTCTAGGAAGATTGTCGAGTTGGCCACGGTCCTTCATTTTTTTCTTGGGGCCTTGGATTTTGAACTTATAACACCAAATTTCAGATAATGAAAAAAAGGCGAGGTTTCCTAGAACATTAGAGCTGGTTAATGGCAGATTCCCAGAACAGAGTTCTTTCTAATGTATCCTAAAATATTTTGGGAATGGCCTGGTCAGAAAAGTTATATACATTATCTTCTAGAGTATATGTTATAGCTGTTTAGTCTTGAGCCAAACATGTGGGATTTCTCTTGGGAAATTATTTTCATCAAAACATTCTCAAATATAAGCAAGAGGAAAAGGATGAAAGTTTAAAAGTTATGATACTTTAGAAAGTGACATATGCATGTTTATAAGTGTGTCTGTGTTTGCAAATACACATATATTTGCATGGCATAAATATGTACATATATATTTCTATATTTAGTCAGGTAGAACTTGGACCAGTGTAAGGATATTTAATGGTATAAAATGTATTTTTATTCAGTTGGTCAGATTATTACTACTTATCTTTTGCAGGAGACATGCAATTCTGGGTGTCTTCAGAGTCTAAACTTTCTGAATCCTGGCAGCCACGCTCCCTGGATATTGAAATTGCGGCCTATGCGCTGCTCTCACACTTCCTGCAATATCAGGTTTCTGAGGGAATCCCGATTATGAAGTGGCTCAGCCGGCAAAGAAATAGCTTGGGAGGTTTTGCATCTACCCAGGTGAGTGATGATAGTTTTTAAGTTTTTTTATGTTTATTTATTTATTTTGAGAGAGAGACAGAGAGAGACAGAGAGAACACACATAAGCCTGGGAGGGGCAGAGAGAAGGAGAGACACAATCCCAAACAGGCTCCGCACCACCAGCTCAGAGCCTGATGTGGGGCTCCAGCTCATGAAAAATGAGGTCATGACCTGAGTCGAGACCAAAAGTCAATGATTAACTGACTGTGGCACCCTGGTGCCCCATAGTTTTTAATTTGTTAAACTAATTAATAGTTTAAATATATATGTAATTTTAAAAGGAAGTATATGATTGCTTTTTTCATGACTTAATAAAATTGGCAATTAAAACATTTAGTACCTTAAGTCAAAGGTCTGGGTTACTCATTTTAATTTTTTCTCATCACTGATATAAACAACATATCTGATATGTATATGGAATAAATTAGTACCCCATTGTGTTGGTCGTCTTTCATCTATGGTAACTGATACAGTAGATCAGTTTCAGTCAGCAGATATTTCCCAAGCTTCTCCTGAACTGTAGGTCAAGGACATTCAAAAATGAAGAAAGGAGAGCCCCATTCTCAAGAAAGGTGGATGAATGCATAGTGGGTGTCCTAAACATTACTTAATTTACTCTTTGGTGACCTTGATATATACTTATATGCACACATATTTTTCTTTCCTCAACAGGACACCATTGTAGCCTTGAAGGCCTTATCTGAATTTGCAGCTCTAATGAACACAGAAAGTACAAACATCCAAGTGATTGTGATGGGGCCCAGTTCACCAAGCCCTATAAAGTTTCAGATTGACAGACAGAACCGGTTTCTCCTCCAGATGGCAGAGGTGTGGACAAGAGGGGTGGTTATTTAAAATTCCATGTAGATGATTCCTTATGCTGAAATGCTATTTTATTTCTATCCTATTGACTTCAACAAAGACTTGTTCTAGAGCCGTGAAAAGGGACTGGGGGGAAGGAGTGTCCTCCTTTGGTTCAAGTGGTGAGCTGGGGAAGAAAGGAGGGGATGGGAACTTTGGAAAGATTTGGAAAAGGAGGAACCATGGGCTGTATCATATTGGGAAGAGAACGAACACACCTATTAAGTTCCTATTCTTTGCAGGCACTGTGCCAAATTTCTTTACATGTGCTATTGCATTTACTTCTCAAACCAACACTAAGAAAGTAAGTACTTTCACCCCCATCATACACATGATAAAACTGAAGCTGAGAAAGAGGTTAAGTAATTTGTTCAAGATCATGTTGCTAGTAATAGTAGAGCTAGGATTTGAACCCATGATTTCAGACCATGTTGTTTTTTAGCTGTACCACATGTCCCCTTAGGAGAATTGATAGCACCAGTAGTAGGATTCTTCCTTTGAGACGGAATAAAGGATTATCTTAGACCCTAACTTTACTCCTGTGGTTGATAGAGTGAGGGATGAAAGTGATAACTTCAAGGCTGGAAACTGAGGAAGAGGGGTGGTGGTAGAAGAGAAGGAATAGTGTTAATCATAATCAGTGATCACGTGTCCGTGGGTTCACAGGAAGGCCAGAAGATTAGGTGCTGTCTAAGGAGACTGGAGGATGGAGAGGACTTTTGTTTCTTGTCTTTTCTGCTTCAGAAGGGCAGCCCTGTCGGTAGCACTAATGTGCCCTCCCAGAGGGCAAAGGTGAGGGTGCCTGGAGAGTGTGCCCTTCATCTGCCTTCACGTCTCTTCCCTGATTAGCCCACAGCTTTTGACATGTGAGGCTGTGTGAAATTCTTAGAGCTTTCCGCAGATGACGCACACTCCTAGTGTGAGAGAACACTGATTTCTGGTGCTACGTTGCAGGACCTAGATATGGAATATTAACCTTATGCACCTTTTATTCACCTTTATTCAGCTTGCGGTGGTACAGCCAATTGCAGTTAATGTTTCCGCAAGTGGTTTTGGATTTGCTATTTGTCAGGTAGGTAACAAGGTTTATTTTTATTCAGTTAAATATGGCTTGTTATAATAATTCTTTGGGGTACTGCTAAATCTTTAACTTAATGTATGAAATTCTTAAGGATTTGTTTCTGTGGACTTAGGCAATAAAAATAACTCTCTTTAATAAAAAGTATTAGAGATGTTACTACTAGTTGACAGTAACCAAATGGATTGATAATCCTGGAAAAATATTTCTTGAGTATCATATACTTTTTGAGGCTATGATTAAGTTCTTCCAATGTGATTCATGTGACTTGTTGGGAACTCCCATCTTTTTTGTGAAAATACAGCTCAGAAATTGTAATGCTGGGAGAGTTTCTACTATGACTCGATAAATAAATATGATAAATTTTAAATTTTACCTGTAACTTTTTAATATTCATCTAAAAACGTAAAGGTCAACATGATATTACAAGGAATTGACTTGAAGATAGGACATGTGCCCCTTTAATGGAAAATCATATATAATAGTAAATCAAACAATTAGAGCATGATAGGTTCAGTGTTTTGTTATAAGAGTAAAATCCAAAGAAACTTACCCTTAATGGTGTAGTGGAGCTAAGATAAAATTGAAGAGTATATAAAATCCTGAATGGGATAGTTATTATAGTACATAATACATTGAAAATTATAGGGACTTGAACATAATCTTATTGGAAACCAAAAACAGTATGTGATGGGACCAAAAATCATTATGTGTTTGGTTAGAATATACACACCAAACAAACCCCGAAAGATTTACTGAGAATGTTAAAAAAATGGCTATAATAGAGAAAAGGTACTTTTCTAAAAACCATGCAAGTATTATAGTTGAAAGTACAGGTATACTTGCTAAGTAGGGCAAATAAAATTATTTCCATGTAATTCTAAGATTATTTTGTATCAAAACACGGTAGTAAATGTCTTAAAAATCGAGGAAAAATGATCACAGTTAAAAGGAACAGAACCCAAGAAAAAGGGTAGGAAGAGAAAGGGTGAATGATTTAAATTTGTCTTTACTAACAAAGGCCATGTGAAAATTTTCATTCTCAAGCTGTTTTTCAATGCAAACAGCAATCTAAAAGTAAATACATAGGCTATTTTAGATACAGTTGCAACTATATATGTATTTAAGTCACCAAATTGGTTGGAATTCATTCTTGATAAACCAAATGTAGACAAATTACTGAAGCCGAATGAGTTTCACTTGAGTCTTGAAGGAACAGAGCAGTAAATGTGGTACCTGCTGGGGCACCTGGGTGGCTTAGTCAGTTAAGTATTCGACTTCAGCTCAGGTCATGATCTCGTTGGTTTGTGGGCTTGGGCCCTGCATCAGGTGCTGTGCTGACACATCAGAGCCTGGATCCTGCTTCAGATTCTGTTTCTCCCTCTCGCTCTGCTCCTCCTCTGCTCATGCTGTGTCTCTCTCTGTCTCTCAAAAATGAATAAATGTTAAAAAATATTTAAAAAGATGTGATACATGCTGTTCAGAACACTCACTATTCCAAATCTGTATCAACATTCAGAAACCCGATAGGCACTTCTCATGATGGAGAAACTAACTGCAAAAAATAGTTTCTGGTCACCCAGAAATAGTTATTGAGATATCTTTCAGTTGATATTTTTGTAAGCACTCTGGCTACAGAAAGGCAAAGAAACCTCTCAGGTTTGCAGTAAGTGTTAACATCTTTGAAGTACCAAAATGCTAAGCTGTTGGAAATAAACTGCAAGACGTCTCATAGTTTTTGTAGGTCAAACATGGACCCTAATACTAAGTTATAGATAAGTATTAATTATGACCCAGAGAACACATTTAGTAGGTTTTGTTTGTTTCCTGCTCACGTTGGTCTCTAATGACAATTGCATGCCCCTGGAATGGGGATGATGGAAATAACAGACACCATCTCTCCAATTTTATGAAAACATTCTTCAGCTCCTCTAAGAATATTCTAAAATTTTAATTGTGGTTCCAGAAAGAGTTAGAGAACATCCAGAGGGAGATAATCAGAATGATCAAGGGAATGAAGCTAACTATAGCAGAATAAAAAGTCAGAAATCTTAGGTTTGAAAGATGAAGGCTTAGAAGATTTTTTAAAGTGTGAAAATCGGGGCGCCTGGGTGGCTTAGTCGGTTGAGCGTCCAACTTTCGCTTAGGTCGTGATCTCGCGGTTCGTGAGTTCGAGCCCCGCGTCGGGCTCTGTGTTGACTGGCAGCTCAGAGCCTGGAGCCTGTTTCAGTCTGTGACTCCCTCTCTCTCTGACCCTCCCCTGCTCACGCTGTCTCTCTCTATCTCTCCTAGAAATAAATAAATAAATAAAACATTTAAAAAAAAATAAAAATAAAGTGTGAAAATCAGGGGCACTTGGGTGGCTCCGTCAGTCACTTAAGTGTCTGGCTCTTGGTTTTGGCTCAGGTCATGATCTCATAGTTCATGGATTCAAGCCTTGTGTCAGGCTCCTTTGCTGACAGTGCAGAGCCTGTTTGGGATTCTTTCTTTCTCTCCTTCTCTATCTTTGCCCCTCCCCTGCTCACGCACATGCTCATGCTCCCTCTTTCTCTCAAAATAAAGAAATAAAACTTAAAAAATTTAAAGTGTGAAAATCTACAGTGGGTACTAGGTATTTACTTCTGAGGTGTGTGTGTGTGTGTGTGTGTGTGCGCGCGCACCCGTGCATGTGTGACTTAAGTATAAGAAAATACAATATTAAATAGCAACAGTATGGCTTATGAACTGTGGTATCAAAAAAGGTGGAAGAGGTACACAATTGAAGTAGATTCCAACTCAACGTGGCATGAGGCAGGTGTAGGATATTTTGAGAATATTCTAGAGTTTCTGATCTTAGGAACTCTTTGGGAAAAAAAAAACCCAAAAACAAAAACCCCCAAAAACTTGTCTTCACACTTGCCCAGTGTCCCCCCAGCACCTTTCACACTAGTGGTAGGCACAGAGTATTTGCTGAAAAAAGACCACATTGTCTTGAAATCCATTAATTATTTTATCATCTTTGAAAAATGTTATATGATCAAAAAGAATGCTGAGCAATTGAACAAGTTTCTGTTCAACCAGGGCTCTTGAATGTTTGACTTTTACTTTATCTCACTGAGAGTTTCTAAGGTTCCTGTTTGTGAAAAATGACACCAGTTGGGCAGCAGAACTTAGAAATTAGTGGATGCTCTCAAGAAAAGAGATAGGCTGTCGTTTCACTTCTTTTCCTAAAGGGAATGTTTTAAATGCTTTGAAAAGAAAAAAAGCCATACTCATGAATATCATGAAGGTCTATACTTGTTTTGGAGGATTAACTAACAATTTCCTCAATTTTCAAAATCATTGCTTATAAGCTTTTATAACATTTGTTAATATTAATACTTTGTTAGCTAGTAAAACTAGTTTTTTTTTCTCCGTTGATGATTACAATTCTAGTTGGGCTTATCCCAAAGAGAATCATCAACTGATATTGAGCATGCATAATGATGGTAATTTTTTGCTAAGAATTGATTACTAATTTAGTATTTATGCTGATTTATTATTTATTGCAGCTTAATGTTATTTATAATGTGAAAGATTCAGGTTCCTCAAGAAGACGAAGATCTGTTCAAGACCAAGAAGCCTTTGATTTAGATGTTGCTGTAAAAGACAATAAAGATGATATCAATCACTTGAATCTGAATGTGTGTACAAGGTTGGTATCTCTTAAGTCCTTTCTGTTTAAAAAAGAATAGATTTGAAGTTTTAATTATATATATGTAGTCATCTAACTATATCAACATAAGGAGTTACATTTAACAAAGATTTCAGTTATGATTACACTTCCAATTACAAATTGGAAATCCTGTTTAATTGTATTTAAGTATTTCTCAATGTGTCCAAAATTATTTACAAGTCATCCTTGTATTTAAAACAAATCTGAATAGAAAAATTTATAAAATATAGGTCTACTTTAACAAAACTTTAAATGAACCAATCATGTTTAAACTCTAAAATCAGTTATTTCTTGGCTACTCGTGATTTTGTCAAATAATTATATGAGGCTCATATTTAACCTTTAGTGTTAGGCTTTTATTCCGAGACTTCATAAGAATATGCAAGTTTAATGAAGAGAATAGTTTATTTAGACACTGAAAATCTGACAGTTTAGAACGTCCTCACCTTGGATAAATAGGCACTTTTAGCTTCTAGGAGTACTTAATAAGGTGATTCTTAAATTTGCTCTGTTTCCAAAGCATCTGAAGATCTTGCCAAAAAGAAAAGGGGTTCCCAGGGCACTTGGGCAGTTCAGTCTTTTAAGCGTCTGACTTCGGCTCAGGTCATGATCTCACAGTTCGTGGGTTCGAGCCCCGCGTCAGACTCTGTGCTCACAGCTAGCTCAGAGCCTGGAGCCTGTTTCAGATTCTGTGTCTCCCTCTCTCTCTGACCCTCCCCTGCTCTCTCTCTCTATCAGACATAAATAAAACATTAAAAAAAAAAAAGGAAAGGGGTTCCTACTCACAGACTTCACGGATTCAGTCTGTGAGCTGTCTTCTTCAGCTTTCTTGGTCATTCTAATGCACACACAAGTTTGAGAGAAAATCGTTTAGAAGGTTCTTGAATCAAGAGACACTACAGTTTCTTCCTGGTCAGTCCTCTTAACCCTGTAGCATTGGGTGTTACGTGGGGAGTTACTGCAAAGATGCACTGATACTGAGGAGCTGCCGTTTGCTCTTTTTAAATACCCCATAGTGGTCTGGTTGAACTTAGTTTGCTGTTGGGCTGGAAATCACTGATGTGGTCCTGAGCTGCCAGATGCTTTTCAGGATCATCTCTGAGTGTTTCCCCGGGTGGCTAACCTGTTTAGCCATTTCTTGTAGAGTCCAGTCTCCTTCATTACTGCTACTAGAAAATGAAGAAAGTGAAAAATGAAATTAATCAAGAATCACCCCTAGAACACAGAGTTGCCCACTGAAAGGGCATCCAGGTTGAACTTGTTATAATCTACAGGCACAAGGCTGGTACACTGCAGGCATTCTGGTACAGATATACTGTCTTGGGCCTTCATGTTCATGATATTGGTATAAATGTCACATTCCTTCCCTTACTGGGCATTTTGGACCAGCAGGAGGGGGATATCAGAATTTCTTCAGTGCCTTCCTGTTTAGCTAAGAAGAGAGTAGGACTCCTGTTATTCTTTTATTTTTTAGATTTTTAAAAAATGTTTTATTTATTTCTGAGAGAGAGAGAGAAACAGTGTGAGCAGGGGAGGGTCACAAAGAGGGAGCCACAGAATCTGAAGCAGGCTCCAGGCTCTGGGGTGTTAGCACAGAGCCCGATGCGGGGCTCGAACCCACAAACCATGAGATCATGACCTGAGCCAAAGTTGGACGCTGAACTGACTGAGCTACCCAGGCGCCCCTAGGACTCCTGTTATTCTTTACAAAGCTTGTGATTGGGTTCTTTCCCAGAATAGCAGCATCAGGTTTTTATTATTATTATTGTAAGTAGTAATAACCTACATTTATTACAGATTTACATGCCAGATATTATACCAAGCACTTTTACATGCATCTCATTTAATTTTTACAATAACTATAAAGCAGGTGGTATTATTAATCCTGCTTTTCTCATTCATTCACTCATCATTCATTCATTCATTCTTCATTCATTCATTCATTCATTCAGTAAATATCATTTGAGTCTCCATTATGTGCCAAACATTGTATTAGGTGTTGGAATATAATGGCGATTTAAAAAAGACACAGGCCCTGTCTTCATGGAACTTACTGTTTGGAGGAGAGACAGAAATTAATAAAAATAAATATAAGTAAGTTTAAAATTCTAGTTTTGAAATGGTCAAAGAAGAATAGTCTTTGGAGCCATGAGAGTAATTTTACCTGTTAGGAGGTCACTTGAAGAAGCAGATGAGGAAAATTAGGTGAAACTAAGATTCAGATCATGATGGGGCCTTTTTACTTATCAGGGCTCATGAAAGCATGCAGGATTCCAGATCTTAACCTATCATCAGGAATCAGATGGGTAACAGACTTTAATAGATAGAGGATATATATATCTATCCCCTCACTTTTTTTGGAGAAGCTGGAGAATGGAACTGTTTTCATGTGAAAGTAGGGATTGGTTTTATAAATAGGATTTGGATGCTGCTACTAGTTTTCTGAGAAAAATCTGATATGAAATACAAATATTTTCAGTGAAAATTCTCAGTGGCACTTAATAAAAAGAAAAACTGATATTTCAGGCACTTGATTCCCATCAGTAGGGTCCAAGCTCTTACTCATCTCAGGCAAGTTTTTCTGTGTATGGCATGGTAATTTAACAAGTTTTGCCCTAGGCCGGTAGAAAGACCAGGTCAACCAGGGCACTCTTGATGGTGTGCTGAAAGTCATCGTATGTAAGCAGATTGGCCATTCTTCTCATCTCTAATGTTTGCTTAGATACAAACACCTCTAGCTGCAATGCGCTTATTTGTTTTCAATAGCATCCCTTCTGGCTGCGTGCATCGCCCCACAGATGGTTTCACTTGTTTGGGACTGCTGAGCCAGCTGTCGTCAGCAGTTGTAACTGTATGGCTTTTCCATCAGCCATGTTTGGCAGCCATCGGTTTGCTGCTCTAAAAAGCAAGACTCTCTACCAGCCCTTCTTGCCTTTTGCCTTCTGAAAGGACAACAGGAACTCACTTAACAATGATCCTTTCATGTTGGAGACAAACTCCTCTCCATAACCACACTGGGCTCTTTCTGCTCCAAACAAAAGAGCTCTTGCCACCTATTCATTTTAGAAAACTATTTATTTTACAGGAGACAAAACGTTGTTGGTGCCCAGATCCTTTGATGCTCACATTGTGTACAACAGGATGAGAGAACAATGTAGTGTAACAAAACTTTCCGAGGCTTGTAATTCTCACCAGGTGGCCAGAGAAAACACAAAACATGCTCCAAGTATGTGGGAGAACAAAGAGGACTCTCCCTACTGGTCATTTTCTAAAACCAGAAGATTGCTAAAGACTTGGCGGTGGTCTACTGCTAAGCGGTCAAGTTTTCAGTTTCTTTTTCAGTTCCTGGCTTTCAGCTGCAAAGCTTAGTGCTGCAACTTCTGAGAAAATGAAAAATGTAATTCAGCTTGGAGTCACCCCTAGAGCACAGAGTTGCCTAGCGAAAGGGCATCCAGGTTGAACTTGTTATAATCTACAGGCACAAGGCTGGTACACTGCAGGCATTTCGTGTCAAATGAACACATTTTTAAATTATTATTCCTCTTATGGTTGAAAATTATAGAATCTCATACCTATAAGGAAAGGATTGTGGGTTTTACAACTTCAGTGGTTCTTACTTCAACTAAACAGTAAACATTTGGAATAACACTTGGCAGTTTTATTTTATTTTTTTAAATTTTTAACGTTTATTTATTTTTGAGAGAGAGGGAGAGACAGAATGTGAGGGCCAGAGGGGCAGAGAGGGAGGGAGACACAGAGTCTGAAGCAGGATCCAGGCTCTGAGCTGTCAACACAGAGCCCGACGTGAGGCTCGAATCCATGAACTGTGAGATCATGACCTGAGCTGATGTCAGATGCTTAACTAACTGAGCCGCCCAGGTGCCCCAGCAGTTTTAACTTTTATCTGAAGACAGTTTGCCAATGGCTTTAGGTTTTTCCTAAAGAGTTTTCTTCATTTCATCCTTTCCTCTTTGATTTAGGTTTTTGGGCCCAGCTAGAAGTGGCATGGCCCTTATGGAAGTGAATCTGCTCAGTGGTTTTACTGTGCCTTCAGATGCAATTCCTCTGAGTGAGACAGTGAAGAAAGTGGAACACGATCATGGGAAACTCAACCTATATTTAGATTCTGTAAGTAGTGAAACCCAAGGTTTGTATAGGTGACCAGCAACAAGGCTGCCGTTTATTGGGTTCAAAAGTCTGCCTTGCCTTGCGCGTGTTTCCTTTGTCATTTGAGCTTTTTGTGTCCCTGAATGACTCTAATATGGCAATCACATATTTGTCCCCGCTCAACAGGCATCACTATAAAATCAATTTAAAGAGAATACTGTTAATGACAAGCCTGAGGATAGTCTTGTTAACTAAGCCATTATTTCATGCCAGATGTAAACTCTGTAGAAGTTGTCACATTATAATTTCAAAAATTCAATCCTGTTCCCAGTTTGAGAACCTTTCTGCCTCAGGGAATTGCTAAAATTATCAGTTTCAGCGCTGATGATGAAAGCTTTAATTATAAGTTTTAAAATGCTTTCACGAAGCTTTTAATAAATCCCAAAAGGACTAATATTCCTGCATTGAATATACAGGTGCTTACATCCTAGAAAAATATTCTCAGAGGTTTGGTCTTCAGACAAATAATTATATACTTTTCATATAGTCTTCTCATTGTTGTATGAAAATTACTGATTCAAGAATAAGGTGTATAAAATACGTGAGAGAAATGTAAGAATTCAAAACAGTATTTGTATCTTAAAACTGCTGGTGTGTAATTTATTCTTTTCTTCTAATATCTACATGAAACTCCCGTTCAATTGCACTTGAGTTCTAAGTGTTCTTATAATATCATGTTACAAGGAGGGAATGTCTATGTTTCTTATTCCAGGTTTTCCAAGTATGAATCTGTAACACATTGCGTTAGCTGTATATATATATATATATACACATTAAAAAAGCTAGTTCTCATTTGTTTTAGGCCTTCAAAAACAACTCTGGTTAAAACCCTGTTAAAACTCATCCAAAGTCTCTAGCTTCTTTTTCTGTTCGGGAATTTTCATAAATTACATCCTGTTTGAAAAGCATGGGCTTGATTTGGGACATGAAAGATAAGTTTAAGGTTTTTATTTAATAATGTAATTGGTTTTAGTGTTTGTCTCGTATCTGTGATGTACTTGTTTAAGGGTTGAGTGTCCAGTATGTTCTGACTGATTAATTGACTTGTGCATTGGCAAGTAATGGAATATTTGAAGGAATTTATCAATTTCAGATTCCTTTAATAATATTGGTTGCCAGATTGAAATAAACGGTCCCTCCAGGAGGCAAGGAGCTGGCCTTTTATATGCCATGTCCGTGTTTGGTTGTGGGATGCACAACCCCCACCCGCAGTTACCTCACTTACTGGTGAGGTTGTTCCCATGTACTGAGGGCAATTCTTCAGAGAAGGGGGCTGCTGTGAACCATTAGCAGTAACCTAGGGGGTGTGTTGCCTGAGATGGGGATTGCGTGAGGCACCAGGGCCCAGGAACACGCGTCCTTGGACGTGCTGCTTTACCCCTAGGACTCTGAGTATCTCTTTCAGCAAAATGGAAATGTGAACAAGACCTATCTTGTAAGAATTGTTTCATGAGTTAAATGAGATAATTTATTATAAACTGCTTATCATATAGTACCGGGCACCCAGAAATCCTCCCTAAATGTTAGTTTCTGTTTCTTAAGAGCATAAGAAAAAGGAATGTCTTTTGCTTTATCATGAACACATAGTCTGCCTCCCCCTTAAGAGTCTTCTGTATTTTTCAAGGTAAATGAAACCCAGTTGTGTGTTGATATTCCTGCTGTGAGAAACTTTAAAGTTTCAAATACACAAGATGCTTTGGTGTCCATAGTGGATTACTATGAACCAAGTAAGTGTGTTCTAGAGTTCATAATACTTTAGAAGTGAAGCAAGCATTCATTCATGTATTCATGCATTTATTTGAAGCAGCTGCCTATTTTGCGTGTGTTGGGGGAGGGTTGTTGGGGAGAGCATAAGAGGTGGAGTGCAGGGGGTGAGCTCTCCATTTAAATGAAGACAATTGATAGTTTACAAAGGTCACATGATACCATTTAGCAGATGAATATTAAAAAGTGCTGGTTTGCTCAGAATTTTAGGTGTTTTCTCATGTAATAGGTTTTAACTCACAATTACAAAATTTACAAAGAAAAACTGAAATAACCAAGAGCCCAGTTATGTGTGGTTTCCAAGGTTTTGCTTCTGTTCTTAGCATCCCCTCCATATGTTTTCTGTTTTAAAATGGGATTTCTTCAGGAGAGAACATGAGCCTCTTTTGCATATAAAATCCTGGGATGGGTTTAGCTGTTTCTTCATTCAGGGAGTCTGTTGTTTTGCTAACATTTATACATTATATCAGATTTTTTTTAGCATATCACGAAAAATATAGTCTGTTTGGAAAATAACTTGAGCTTCTTTGGTTTTACTGTTAAGTTCTTACTTTAGAAAATGTTAAAAATTTAGGATGTGAAAGTAGAGATCTGGTTTGTAGATTACCCAGGTTAGTTAGGACTACTGTACACTCAGTCACAGAGTGACGCTTTGTGAGTGTGTGATCTCTAATGGTGATGAGTCTTATTCTTGAGTGAGCTCCCCTGATGGCTCAGAATCCTCACAATGCAGGAGAATTGCGAACATTTTCACATGTCAGGTACTTGTAGATAATTTCACTCTAAAGAAAAATGAACTTGTTCACATCATTAGTGGTGTTCGGTGGAGTACCATTGAAGACTAAGGTTAAGAACACCAGTTCTTTCCCCTTCTAAGCCGACAAGCCAGTTCTTCTCATCTTTCGCCCCCTGTGAGAGTTGGGGAGGAGCATTTGCCCAGGTTCTTGTGGGAGACACTGAAGCCAGTACTTCTTTTCTGGTGGAAAGGTGGGATTCCCTGCGGAGACTCAATGGTTGTCCCAGCTTTGTCATTTACACTAGTTGCAAAACTCTCCAATGGATATTTCTTCAGTGAATGGAGAATATTTTAAACATTTAAGAAACAAAAAAGATTCGGTCTGCGTACACTTTTTTTTGTGAAAGGCAACTTGTTTATGAGGGCGACATTCTCAAATGAAACTATGGGAAAGGTCAGAAATAATAGAAACCTACCAATCGATTTTTGAAGATCCTAAAATTAAAAATATATAATATTAAAAACATTAAAAATAAGACAATATTAAAATTATGAAGAAATTTGAAAATAGAATGTGTTTTTAAAAATAAAAATCATTTATGTTATATAGTAAGTTTACTTTAGTGCTGTAGGAACTTTTTTTTCTGTTAATATTAGCTTGTACTATGAAATTTATCCAAGCTGAAGAGTTTTTAGATACTATATGCTCAACATTTTATTTATTTATTTTCAAGATTTTATTTTTAAGTAATCTCTATACCCAATGTGGAGCTTAAACTCACAACTCCAAGATCAAGGGTCACATGCTCTACCAACTGAGCCAGGCAGGCGCCCCTAAGCTCAACATTTTATTTATTTATTAAAAAATTTTTTTAATGTTTATTTATTTTTCAGAGAGAGAGAGAGAGCGCGAGCCAACAGGGAAGGGTCAGATAGGGAGACACAGAATCCAAAGCAGGCTTCAGGCTCTGAGTAGTCCCAACCCAGGGATGGAACTCACCAGCAGTGAGATCATGACCTGAGCCAAAGTTGGACGCTTAACGGACTGTACTAGGTGCCCCTCTAAGCTCAATATTTTAACACATTGAAATGCATTACCTAGGCAGGTTTCTCTTCATGTTTGTATTTTAATGAAGCCCATGGTAAATCTCTTTTCAGTTGTCCTAATGGTTAGAGCTTTGCTTATATGTATCGAAAATGACACCCTAAAATAAACTCTCAAGGAGGTTAAACAATCCTCAGTTTAAAGTCTTTCCTGTTCCAGTAAGAGAGTCAAGTATGCTTGGGATCACGATGTGCAGCTGCAGTCTGTTTTCTCTCTCCAGGTCAGCCAGCTGCTCGTGGTGGACACAGTGCATGGAAGGCATTGTTTCTCTCTTGGATTTGGTTAGCGCTTTGGGCCCCTCCTTAGCATTTCAGTTGTTTCTTGTAGCGAAAAACAAAATTATGCAAAGAATGGAAAACTCAGAACAGTGTATCGAAGTGCTCTTAAGTTTTGGCAGAGTAAATGCTTCTATATTAGGGACCTGTGTAAACTGATGTCTGCCTCTGCACAGGGAGACGAGCGGTGAGGAGTTACAACTCTGAAGCGAAGCTGTCTTCTTGTGACCTCTGTGGGGACATTGGCGGATGCGGTCCTTGTGAGAACGGAGCTGCGCCCTCCCTTTGTCACCCTTCAGTAGTTTTCGTGCTCTGTCTCACGCTTCTGTTTTGTTTGCACCGTTGGCCATGATTTGGTTTTTAAAGACTCCATGTAACATTGATGTTTCCAGTCACACGTGATTGTCTTGTTTTCATGACCGAGCATTGCTTCTGACTATTTTTGAAAAATAATTTTTTTCTTTTTATGGGGTTGTTGGGAATGGTGTACAGTTAGGTCCTAGTACAGCTGCACAGATGTCTTCATGTGACTTCTGTGTAGAACAAAAAATCAGAGTTACTGCAGTTGTGCGCAATGAAAAATCGTTAAGGGGTTTTTCATGGAGGTGTTGTCTTCTCCAGAATAAATGTGTTATTTTAGATTATTCCTTTGATTTTCTAGAAGAAATGCTAGGTTCTTAAGCATTATTAGAGACCAGTGTTGGTTTTTGCATTACAGGCAGATATCTGGAAACTAGGAGAAAACAGCCAGAAGGAGGAGCTTGCTCTGTTCCCTTCTAGCATCCACTCTGCCCTCTGCCCACCCCACACCTAGTGGTCCCAGTATATCCTTTGTGATTGAATATCACTTCTTTCTTTTTAAAATGTAGGGGGGCAGAATTTTTTTTAAGTGAAGTGATGTTTTTTCACTCCAATTGTAATCTCAACCCTCAACCTTTAACCTTCCTGTTTTTCTTCTGGAGAGAAGGAGACATGGAATGTGTTTTCCTGAGCTTTGCAGTCTGCTTCAGAGCTTGAGGAGTGTACAGAAAACTGCTCCAAGGGTGCGCTGCCCTCCCTCTCACTTCCTAAGCCCCCCACACTGGGTCTCTTTCAGGGATGAGAGTCAGAGGGCACAGCAATATGTGCCCTACGTGATCTAGACTAGAAGATCCTAGACCAGAAGACACAGCTTTGTTAGTATTGTATTAGCCAGGGTAGTACAAGAGCCCAGATGAGATGCAGCAGGCTGGCCTCCCTGTGGTCAGGGAAAGAAGCTGGGGCTTGACAGGGACCAAGAGAGGTGAACGTCACTGACCCTCAAGTCTGGTTGGGTGTTGCCCAGGGTACTGTAGAAGCTCTTCTAGACTCAGGTGTCTGAGTGTCAGATGGCCAGCTATCTGGTGACATCTAATGCTTGTGTGAATCTTTAAGATTTCTGGACTTTGAGCACCTGGATAATTGATTCTCCTGTATTCTGAAAGATAATATTCATTTATCTGGGTGAAAATTTTAAAGAATAATTCCTTTCCTTCCATCTTCCACCTCCCTCCTTTTTCTCCTTTCTCGCTTCCTTCTTTCTTTCCTTTCTTCTTCCTTTCTTTTTTTCCATCTAAATATATTGAAATATTATATATATATATAAATAAAGAACTCTTCTAAATCTAAGAAATGGTTTAATTTTGCTCCTTAATTCCATGGTGTTTCTCTCAAGTGAACATGAGGAAAATAATTGCCATGGGCTTCAAAAGTCTGCCTTACAACATTTTCAATTGTCTAAAAATAAATCCATTGAAAATAAAGTATGCAAATGTCTTTAAAGTTAATTTTCAAATTTTTTTATCTCAGTGAATTTTAAGAAATTGTAGTGGGTGTTTAAGAAATTATAGTGGAGTGGATGTTCATGTATTGCTTTTGGATATTTTGGATACAAAGGTAGGAGTTACTAAAATCAGTGTTTTCAAGCTTGAAACCTGTGTTTCTACCTGTGTAGAAAACAGATCCTCAGAGAGCAGTCTATGGAGAGGGAGAAGTTAAATATTAAGTAAATAATCTTTGTGTATATACTTATAAGTGGATAAAAGCTTGTAGTTCTGTTACACCTTTGAAACAGACTGATCTAAAAAAGACACTTACTATGTTTAGGCCTTCCTGTATGGTGTTTTCTGTCTTTATATCCTGGGACATCCTTAAAGATGACAGTATCTTCTGGAGAGATTCAGGGAGGGTATTGGCCAAGGATGTCCTCCTCCCTTGCCTCGCCCAGGGACCCTTATACTGACCAGCAGGACCTTATTATATTCTTCAGTAAATAATTTATACGGAACTTCTAGTACAGTACAGTGGGAAACACTAGAATGGAAAGGCCAGTGGAAGACAGCATGTGTCTTTTTTAGGCCGTACTTCCTCATTTAAAAACTAGAACTCGAATACTTTTTTGTGAAGTACTTCAGATTTTCAGATTAAAACGTCATTTTGTAACTGTTCTTGTAATGCATTCTCTTTTTATTATAAATTTATTAAAAGTGAAGGAGGAGAGTGAGGAGGAGGAGGAGAAAGTCAGCTGTGATTCATGGTGTGTGGGGCTGTGGTAATGCCTTGTCTCCATCCTCCTTCATCTCTGTTTTAGAGAGCTGACTTTGTTACACGCGGGGTGGGGAGGGGGGAGGTTGGGTTAAAAGTGATTAAAAAGCCACAGACGTAAGGGAAAAGGAGGCCCTGTAGTAGTAATAATTGATAGTATAGACTGTTTTCTTTTCTTCCTATGCTATGAATAATAATCTTAAAAAAAAACACCTCATTTTACCTTTAAGTTTGCTTATGGTGAGATTCTTCCATTTAGAATGCTTCCTGATATGAACAAATTTAAAATCGCCCCTTCTCTTTCACTGAGGGGGAACCTTATTAAGACACCAGCATAGGTCACTTTCAGTCTTGACTGGCCAGTGGTTCCAGAGGCTGGGTAACTACTAGCCACACAATTCAAAGAAAGAAAAATACTTTTATATTGGGTTTCACCATTCTGCTACCTTCAGTTATAATTCTAAGAAAGAAATGAAGGCAACTAATAATTTGTTTGTTCTATGAGTTCGGAAAAAAATGCCTGGTCAACAAAATGCTTTTTTTTTTTTTTTTTTTTAACTGTATTGTTCTATTATACTTTATCTTTTTCAAAATACTTTAACAACAGTATATTTGGTTTAGTATTGTGGGCATAGTGTAATCTGAGGAGGGTTGTGCTTATATAAAATCCAGATATACATCTATTACCTAACAACTTGTTATTTAAATATGTAATATCACATCCTACCTGTGGGGATTGTCAGAGTTGTAGATAGCATAATTCTCCCTGCTCCCACTCTTTTGAGCCTGGGTGTAGTTATTTTTTAGAAATTACATTTAACCCTAATTCTTTTTACGTCAAATATAGCTTTAAAGAGTCTGACAATATAATACCAATTATATTTGATATAATTCAATTATTTAAGTCAACATTTCTGGTTATCCTATGATATTTAAAGAAAATTGGAGCTACCTTTTTTTTTTTTTTTGGTCAAGCTATTTTTTTTTTAGAATGAGCTGCTTTATTAACCTGCTGGCATATAATCTGGAGTTTTTTGTAATGGCCTTACTTTTTTCTCATTTGTTTTATTGAAGTTTAATATCAATTTTTATAGAAATATGTTGTAAATACCTCCTTTCTTAACATAAAGACAGTACTTATTTTGAATTTGCCAAGTGGCTACCCTGGGTCCAGATGCCACTATATATTCTCGGAGGCATCATTTTCTTGGACGTAGAAGTCTGAAGCACTTATAGTAAGGGGACTTGCTCTTGGGTCAGCTTCAGAGTCTATTCTACCCTCCTTAGAGGCTTCTGTTAGACAGAAGAGTATATTCCTCATTTTTTTTTGTTTTCAAGCTCCAATAAAGCATAGCACTTTTAAGGGCTTAAAATTTTCATAGCATGTATTCAAATGCTATTTATGTTACTATCTTATGTTGGGAGTAGTTTGAGGTACAATTATTTTTATCACTACTTTATCACTACTTTAAATACAGGACATTTATCCTACTTTCTTCCAGAAACTAAGCAGTAAATATACATTTTTTTAAAGAAACTTTATTTTTTTTTTTAAAGAAATCTCTAACCCCTACATGGGACTTGAACTCATGACCTTGAGATCAAGAGTTACATGCTGTACCAACTGAGCCAGCCAGGTACCCCAGGAAATATATACTTTTAAGTAAATGTATTGGTGAGAGTAGGCTTGTTTCAAAACTATTTCTAGGCTGTGAGTTGTGTTTTTGTATGCCTCATCAAAAGACAGTGCCACATTGCATCATTCCATAAAATGCTGTTTTCACTTCAGATATTGTAACCCAGGAAAATAGATATTTTATAGATGATTTCTGAGCTTTTCCTTTCAAAGGACACTTACACATTGATATGTGGGTATCTTTGGAGTAGGGATGAGTGATACTAACACACACGTTGTTTCATGTTTTAAGAATAATTTTATCTCATGTTTGCATGAGGCTACGATTTATCATTTTTCTGCCTATTGTATTCAATTAATGGTAGAGGGTGGTGTCATGTTCCATTTATAGATCTTTAAGATTTATCTTTGGTAGCTTCAGTAGAATGTGGCTCTATTTTGGCCCTTCAAGACTTTCTGTTTTGGGTTTTTAGTAGAGTGCAACTGATGTGGTAGAGCCCACAGGACTGTTTTCTACACAGGAAACTTATACAGTTTTATTCATAAACCCCTATTTTAATATGTTCTTTTGCATATGAGAAGAATACTTTTGAAAGAAAACATTATTTTCCAGAAGTTAAAGCATTATATGTTGATCAAAGTGATTCTAAAGGTTTAAATTTTAAATGTTAGAATGTTACGCTATTATTAATTGTATTCTATTATGTATTCAGTAGGAAATCATGGTCTATCAATAAAAATTCCCATCTATTTGTTATCAGTTTTCTTTTTGTTTTATTTTAAATCATGTCTATATCACATCTCCTTTACTTAAACATGCTAACTGTGAGAAGTGGGATGTCGGGGAGTGGGCTTATTGTGTTACAGGAGTTTGACGTGAAGAGGTGATGGGAACCACCACCAGCCTGCTGCACCTCCTTCCTGACGCTGGCTTTCGGGCTGGAGTGGGGTCTGTGGAGTGGTAAGTGATATACGCCAATAAAAAAATGGGAGGTGAGGACTCATTCACCTTGTGGAAATAATGTAGGAATATAGAATACAGTTTGTGTACCCAGGAAAATGGAGTCCTGGATTGTGGTATAGCTTACTTGTTGTTTCTGGGTGGGTCCCTTTGATTCTGATATTATCTCTGATTTGCACAATGGACCAGACGCGGTGCTCAGCTTGGGGGTGATTAGATTCTCTTTACCTTCCTGCTTCTGCTTTGGTCTTCGTTTCTACTTACGTAATCTACAAATGGAGCTTGAAGAAGTTTCAAGTGACAGTTTATTTGAGGTCACTAGTGATAAATCCGGATTAAGGAGTTCGAGGATGGGTGTTGTGCCCCTTGAATCTGTCATGCTGCATAGGCACTAGACTTTTGCAATGTCCCCACAAGGACATTTCCCATGCCAGCAGAGAGCAGTGGGTGGATTCCCACAACTTTCTCTAGGCCCTTTCCCTCCCCTCCCTCCTGCTTATGTCTCTGTTTTCCATCCTAAAGCTCCCACATCTTCACTTTCACTCTCAGAACTCTGCAAATACTAAGCTTTCCTTTCTGCCCTCAGTTTTCTCTTGGTCTCATGTGAATGGCAAGCCAAAGCTTTCTCTTCTCTGCCTGTTCTGCCGCTGGGTCATGTCCCTTGAGTGGAGGGGTGATGAAAACCCTTTGGATGATTCTCCACTCTGATTGGTAGTTGGCTTTCATTCTCATCCATGTTATCCCAGTGATCTAAAAGGTCAGACAACTGCATGGATTCAGGATGAGGGAGACTTTAAGTGGCAGAACACACGAACAAGACTTGATGGTGAGGCAAAGTATGAGTCAGTGACGAGAGAGCCAATGCCTCAGTTGCTCAACTAGGGAGGTGTTCGTTCTAGGGTAGCCTGCATATTTCCGGGTATTGTGCCTGTACTAAGGTCACAGTTTAAGAAAGTAAGACCACTTGGAGTCCTAAAGTGACCCTCATGGTGTCAGGATGAAAGATCACAGGGTGTGAGGGTGCTCAGCTGTGAAATAAATATCTTAAAGGCTGTCACCTGCAAGCTCACACTGCAGAATTGTTACAAGTGGGTAGGTTTTCATACATTAGCAGGAGGAATTAAAGAGAACATCTTTACTTCAGAAGGTGGTGACTACATGGTTCCGAAGGGGGTTTGGCAGAGCCTGACGATCACTAATGGCTGACACTTTTTAAAATGTACAGTCACCATTTTTTTTGTTTCGAGTGTTTAAAATGGCAAGAATTAGGGGCGCCTGGGTGGCTTAGTCAGTTAAGCGTCCGACTTTCGCTTAGGTCATGATCTCGCGGTTCGTGGGTTCAAGCCCCGCATTGGGCTCTGTGCTGACTGCCAGCTCAGAGCCTGGAGCCTGTT